TGCTGAATGTGCCAATTATGATGCATAACTAATGACAAAACTGTGCGAATGGTGGCATGTTTCACAACTGGACTGAAAGTTTCAGTATAATCAATTCCCTCTTGCTAATGAAAACCATTTACAATAAGTCGAGCCTTATACCATTCAATAAATCCATCTGATTTACGTTTCACTTTAAACACCCATTTATTTTGAATAATATGCATGGATGGTGTAGGAAACACTAAACTCCAAGTACTAGCTTGTTGTAAAGCATTAAATTCTGTGCACATTGCCATTCGCCATTGAGGGTCTTTGATAGCTTAACTGAAACATGATGGTTCAAGGTGATTATCAGAAGAAGTAACCAGCAATGCATACTTTGGATTAGGCTTTTGAATTCCAGCTTGACCTCTTGTTACCATTTGATGTGAGTGAGAAGGCTGGAATAGTAAAATTGGATCATGAATCGGAGAAGAATGGCTGATAGATAATTATGGGGATTCAAGAGGACAGGTTGACATGGGTGAATAAATTAATTCAAGATGTGAAAGTGAAGGTGTTGTAGTTGATGGTGTAATGGAAGGCTGAATAATAGGAGGTGAAATTGGTGTAACAGAAGATGGTGGAAATAAAAGAATCGATGAAGATGCTTCCTTTGGCTGTTTTGAAATGTGCAAACCTGTTCTAGTTTAAAAGGAAATTAACACTCATTAAAAATAACATGTCGAGACAAATAAATTCGTCCAGTGTCCTTGTCATAACATCTATAGCCTTGATGATTATGAGAGTATCCCAAGAAAATACAACATTTGGATCGGAATTGAAGCTTATTTTTATTATAAGGACAAAGATATGGAAAAGATGCAAAACCCAATACACGAAGAAAGGAATAGTTTGGGGATTTCTGAAACAATTTTTCAATTGGTGAAATGTAACCCAGTTGTCTAGTAGAAAAACGATTTATCAAATAAATTGATGTATTAAATGCGTCAACCCAAAATTGAGATGGTATACCAGCTTGAGCTAACAATGTGAGACATATCTCTGTTATGTGATGAATTTTTCGTTTCGAAACACCATTTTGTTCTGGAGTAAAAGGACAAGAAAAACGATGAAAAATTCCATGAATAGAAAGAAAATCCTGAAATTTACCCTTACAATACTCACCGCCACCATCAGTTTGTAGCGATTTAATTTTATATGAGAAAATATTTTCAACAAGCACTTTGTATTTAACAAAATAACCAAACGCCTCATGTTTAAAATGCATAGGATAGATCCATGTGTATTTTGAAAAGCCATCAACAAAGAGAATATAATATTTGGATCCTTGAAGAGAATAAGATGGAGAAGTCCATACATCAGAATAAACTAATTCTAAAGGCATAGAAGAAACTGAAGTAGATAATGAAAAAGGCAAGCGGGTACTTTTGCCTAAGGGACACGAATCACAAAAAGCTTTATTCTTCGTTGAACCTTGCACAAGGAATTAGCAGATAACAAACGACACAATATTGGAGATGCTGGATGACCCAAACGTTGATGCCAAATTGGAGTTGATACTCTTTCTCCTACAAATGCAAAAGCTCTTTTATTTGGAGTACCACAAGGAAGTTGAAGAGGATAAAGCCCATTTTCACTCTTGCCGCAGAAAAACATCTTCCCCGTTTTGGTGTCCTTTACACAAAAACCATCAACATTAAAAACAAAGTAATAATCATTATACCGAGAAAATTGATCAACCGATAACAAATTTTGTGAAATGAATGGACAATGTAAGATATTATTGAGATAAAACTTAGAGGAACAATGGTTAAATGCAATAGAACCAATGTGATTTATTTTCAAACCTATACCATTACCAACTGTAACATGTTCTGATCCTTGGTACTCATCATGTATGAAGAGATTGGCAAGATCAGATGTCATATGAGTAGATGCTCCACTATCAGTAATCCAAGTTTGATTATTTGATGGAGAAAAAGTTGAAGCTGCTATAGCTGTAAGTTGCTTTGTTAAAACACACCCTTCATAAGAGTAGTCCATTCTATGGTAGCAAATAATCGTTGAATGTCCCATTCGGCCATAGATTTGGTAAGTAGGCCGTGTTTGATTGGGAGTAGAAGATGAGACATTTGTAGATGACCAAGAAGAGCTTGGATGATGTTGTAAATTTGAGTTCTTCACTTGTGGTGAACGACCACCATTACGAGTTTGAGGAGAAAAACTACTGGTACGAGTTTGAGCAGATGAAACACCCGTATGAGTTTGAGTAAAAGAACCACCATTCTTGCCTCTGTGATTTGTGTAAAATGCAGTGGCGGTTTGCTCAATAGGAAGAACATTTTGTTCCTCAAGTCGTATTTCCGCACTCAAAAGAAGTTCAACAAGATCATCCAAAGAAATGGGTATATTTCTGGCTAGAACAGAGTTAACCGTAACTTTATAAGCCGGTCTAACACCATTCATAATGAGAGTAAGAAAATCATCCTCGTCAACTGGTTTCCAGCTTAATACTGGTCATTTTATCGACGTATTCCGTAATAGACAAGTTCCCTCTCTTTGTGGTTTGTAATAGATTTTTCAATTGTAAGATCCGTGACTTCGAGTGCGACGCATATCGCTTTTCAAGCGATTTCCATACATCGTTGGAGGTACCAAACCTTGCCACAGTAGAAAGAACTGTGGATGTCAAGGTGGCACTGATCCAACTAAGAATCTGATTGTCTTGTTGCTGCCACAAAGTATATTTGGGATTGAGAGTTCCATTCCCATTTGTATCAACAAGAGACTTTTATGGACAAGGCTCTATTCCATCAACATAGCCAAGTAAATTGAGACTTCTGATAACTGGTTCAAATTGAGCCAACCATAGAGTATAGTTGGTTCTATCTAGCTTGATTAAAGCCAGATGAGAGATATTACAGATGGATAATGTAGAAGCCATGAAAAAAAAAAAAAAAAAAAAAAAAAAGAGAAAAAAAAAAAAAAAGAAAAAGAAATTTAATCCCAAAGTCAGTAGACGTTGGGCTCTGATACCATGAAATAATTAGGTGAATTTACAATTTCATTGATATGATGATCAAATATATATACAATATGAATCAATGTAAAATAGTAAACAAATCTCTACATCTAAGGAGCTGTTACAAAGAATCAAAATTCAAAAATAAATCAGTTACAAATCTTAATGATTTGCTCAATCAAGGAGAGTTTCTTATGGCTGAAATCATGGGGCAGTAACATTGTTATGTTTATCAGATGGGACTTCCTATTGGACACCTTGACACTTTATGGATTCCCTCAAATTTTCATCATTTGGATCAGAGAATGCATCACCTCCCCTTCGTTCTCTGTCTCAATTAATGGGGAACTACATGGCTACTTCAGAGGAGTCAAAGGGCTTAGGCAAGGGACCCTATCCCCTTTCCTTTTTGTTACTACTATGGAGGTCTTCCCCTTTCCTTTTTGTTATTGCTATGGAGGTCTTCTCATCACTTCTCCAGGCACATGTTCTTTCATCTCCCAGGTTCAGGTACCATTGGAGATGTAAAAAAGTGGGGATCATTTATCTAAGCTTCGCCGGTGACTTACTTTTATTTTCCTATGGCAATGTTGATTCAGTGAGTGTTATCAATCATGTATTGAAGCAGTTTACTGCCCTCTCAAGATTCTCCATAAACCTAGAGCACCAAGGTTGAAAGTCCTCAAACTTGTCAAAACGGGCTATCAATGGCATGTTAGTATCCCGGAAAAAACTAACATTAGTTAATTATATCATACTATTTCTCATTGAAAGTCTTCTTCGGGTAATTTGCTCTCTTTTTTTTATAAAATGAGTTGATTATATCATACTATTTCTCATTGAATCTTAAATGCTTAATTGACGCATAAGGACCACGTATGTTACGGTGAAATAGAGCCTTGGGAGCACAAGAAAGGGAGGAGGACTGACTTGAAGAAGACTTTCTCAAATAGTTGAAATCGCAAGGAGGAAGATGATATCATAAGGAAATGAAACCCTCCACAGGATATTTATCGAGTTGAAGCTAGGGCAACAGAGCCCACCCAAAAATAAAAAATTTACTAGAGGCAATTTTAGCTCAGCCAAGAAAAAAAAAAAAAAAACAAAACAAAACAAAAAAGCAACCAACAAAAAAAGAGTATTACTAGTATTAGCCCACCCAAAGAAATATTAGCCTACCCAAAGCTTGAGCCTAGCCAAAAAAAAAGGGTTTTACTATAGGCAATTTTAGCTCAGCCAAAAATAAAATAAAATAAAAATATTACTAGTATTAGCTTACCCAAAGAAATATTTGCCCACCCCATTGACAATTCTTGGATCCGCCCTTGTTGAAGCACTAGCACGAAACCTAGTGTATGACATTATGAGGAATTAAAAGCTCTTCCAATAAAGAAGACAGAATTGTTGAAGTTCGACTCCATTACTAAAAAATTAAACTCCTTTCAATTTATATCATTATATAAAATTAGAGAGAATTGGGGGCAACCCAAATCAACCACAAATGCACATCTGTATAGGCTATCAACCAATAGAAACCAGCCACATGGTCAAACCATTAGGTGACACGTGGCATGGAAATCCAAAACAAAACATAAATTCAAAATTGGAAAGAAGAGGAAGATAAGGCTAGATGCCCTATAACAAATCAGGAATAAAACCGAAAACAAGATATCAAGGAAAAAAGCACGCTACGAGCATTACATGATCCCTTTATAAATGTACAAAAAGAGAACACAAAAAGAGGCATCGAATTCAGGAATTGTTCAACTCTATAGGCAAAATGTCATTGCAATGATACAATTCCTCTGTTCAACCTTTGGGTGTTTGTGTAAATTTCCCTTCTCAATTCTTTGCACACACATGCTTATTTTGATGTTTATTGGATACAGTTCAGACATTAGACAGAATAAAATTCTCCATTTCTAAAATATGATTAACTAAGATTACCCTAAAATAAAAATAAAAAAACACACACTGACACACACACACAATACTACATTATTTGTATGGTTGAAGAATCTGCAGGGGGTCTTGGGGGAGAAGACAAGAAAGGCTTGGGTGGGATTTGCAAGGACTCAAGGCTCCCTTCTAACATTTCCATCACCTTGTTCATAGATGGTCGATTTGATGGGTCAATTTGTATGCACCATAAGCCCACTATTATCATCTTCTTGACTCTTCCATTTTCCTCTTCATTCATAATTCCATGAAGTCCAAAATCCTCATCGAGCTCCATACGATTGTATATCCAATGTGAAAAATATATTTCACTTGTATGATCTACTTCAACATCAATATTCTTTCTTCCTTCGACCATTTCTAGGACCATCATCCCATAACTATAGACATCCGACTTATGAGAGACCCCCCCAAAGGTCCTGGAAAATACTTCTGGAGCTGTATACCCAGCTATTCCTCTTGCACCCGACATCAATATGATACTTTCTTTCTTAGGACATAGTTTAGAAAGGCCAAAATCAGATATTTTGGGGCAGAAGTCTTCATCCAGAAGAATGTTATGAGGCTTTATGTCAAAGTGCAAAATTCGTGCGTTACAACCATGGTGTAAGTACTCTAATCCTCTAGTAATGCCAATTACAATTTGATATAACATTTCCCAACCCAATTGACATTGTTTTGAGGAAGTTCGGTTATATATGAACTTTTCAACTGATCCATTAAACATGAACTCGTAGATGAGAGCTCTTTTGCTACCATCAAAACAGAAACCTAGAAGAGTGACAACATTAACATGTGAAGTTTTACTAATACTTGCAACCTCATTAATAAATTCTTCACTGTTACCTTTTGAATCATTTAGAACCTTCACTGCCACCTGAATACCATTCTGTAACTTTCCCTTATAGACGACACCATATCCTCCCTGTCCAAGTTTATACTTGAAAGAGATCGTCATTTTCTTAATGTCTGAATAGCTGTATCTTTTTTTAGTGAGAAACGCTTCATTCTTTAGGAAGACCTCAATTCGTTCATGTTTCTCGGATTTCTTATTCCAAAATATCATTAATTTACCTGATGAACTTCTTCTGTAGCAATAGAATGTGATTATTCCGATCACCAGCCCAGCAACTGAAATGCCTGTGATCAATTAACGAGTCTCATGTCACAAATATTATTAACGAGTCTAATGCAAACACAATGAGGTAATCCAACTACTGTTTTCATTTCAACTTTTAAAAAAAACTAATAATAATAATAATTTTTCAAAAGAATGGTAAAACAAATAACTGGTTTATATGATTTGGTAAGTGCAAACCAAAACCAAAGGCAAATTAGTTTAATGAATACATTACCTATTGAAACTTTCTTCACCAAGTTCCCTTTACTTAGTGTACTACCTGCAACATAAACCCAAAGGCAATTATAATTTCCACCAAAAAAGAATGATTATAACTATAACTGCATCTATAATTTTTTTTTTATTATTGTAATATATCCTGCAAAGAATTGTTTTAAAGCCCTTGCAGAACTTCTCCTAAAACATCAAAAATGATGAATAACACATTCAATACCATCATTCTGACATGATATTTACTAAGATCCAACTGAAATTCCCAAGGCAACAAAATTAATTAGAAGAAACAACCTCACTTAAAACATGCACAAATGTAAATATAGATTATTAATGTTAAAGTGAATTCTTATGATGGTCATGTTTATTAAATATAAAGAAGTGAAGAGTCATACTTTATATGTTGCATATATGATTAATAAGGAATTATAAGTCAAGGAATTTCACTCTAAAGCCATTTCCATTTTCTTCGTATCTCCTCTTATTTTTAATTTGAAGTTTGCAAGTTTAAGTTCCATTTTTTTTTCCAAAGATACCTTGTCACAAATCTTTATGATATTCATATCAACTCATCACATATGAATTTTCTAGATTTAGAGAATGAGTTTGACCAAATTTAAACCGTTCATCAACCAACTTTAATTTTAGGTGTTTAATTAAAAATTAATGAGACCTAATATGATGAGTATTCTTTAATTTTAGGTGTTCACTTACCTCCCCATGATGTTTATCAATATCCCACATAAACTCCTTTACGTTGTGTAATGTGTTATTTTACTCTTTTTTTTTTCATGAAATATTTGTTGCCATTTCAAGCATTGGAATGGTATGTTGTGGTTTTGTGGAGTCTAATTAGGTAATTGTTTTTTAGGAAGATTTATTTATATGGAAACTTCAAGAGTACTGAATTTTAGGAAAAATTCAATTTCCTAATCTGGTTTAACTTCCTTATTGATTTAGGGAAAATTCAGTTTCCTGATCTAATTTAACTTATTGGTTTAAGGAAAATTCAGTTTCCTGATCTGATTTAACTTCCTCAATGATTTTGGATTCTACATAAGGCAAGTTCTTGTAGGATAAGTTTGGGACTATATAAATATCAACTCTAATCAGATTTTAGAGTGTGAAAAGTCAGAGATAAATTTGTGTCAATATAAGAGAGAGCAATTGAGAGAGATTGAGAGAGAATTCTCCATTGTAATTCTTCATCTTTTTTATAGTGAATTTGTTCGGTGTGCTCCATTGATGTAGCCCTAAGATTTAAGTAAACTATGTATATCTTGTGTTCTTATAATGACCCGGTCTTTTTCCTCCTTTTCCATTTTCAGCGATTTTCTTTTTTCGTCTTTTGGTCGTTTTTTGTTTTTCCTTGCGTAACCTCACTTATAGTGCTCGGATTTGATTCGGGTTTTGCATGCATTCACGGTATTTGATTTCCATGACATTGGTATTCTTACTTTTATAGAAAAGCATGTTAATTGCTTACTTTTCTTGTAAATGGCATGAATGCATACTTTAGTATAATTATTCATAACTTTTGGGGTTTTTGTGTAATTATGTAAAATAATTATTTTTCGTTTTAGGGACCTTTTTGCAAATTATTTTGGAAGATATTTTGAAAAAGGATCATTTTGTAATTTTTGGAAAGTGTGACAAGTGTCACACTTTCATGGAGCCATTTGTTAGCATTTGGGTGAAGAGACTTGGCACCATGACTTCTTGACATTTAGAGGGTGGAGATTCACCCATATGTTGGCCTAGGATTGGTGCACTTATTGGCTTAGATTGTTGACAAGTGTAAGCTTCGAATTAAGCCTAGGGAGGATCATTGGATTAGTGACAAGTGTAGGGCCATGATTTAGTCTTGCATTGTGTGTGTGTGAGAGGTAGTGCAAGAATACATAATGAGTGGAGGATCTCTAGCCCATCCATTCACCATTTTACACTTTACCTTCTTCATTTCATTTCTCTCATGAACCCTAGCAAAGACTCCATTAGAGAAAGCTTAGTAAAGAGCTTTGACTTCACTTTTGGCACTCTTCCATTCACCCTAGACTTTTGACCTTAAGAGAGAAAAGATTCCTTTCACTCTCCTCTTCAAGAATCCTAACCTTGTTTTCCATTTTGTGTTTGGTAGCTTGGATTATTGATATTCAATTCTCTATTGAGGTAGGGGTGGTAGTATGTTTATATTCTAAGTGTTTTATAATCGTTGGGGTTTAATATATATTGTATACATGCTTTTAATATAATAGTATTGCATATTATAGGAAACGCTCACATCTTGACTTAGGGTTTATTGATTTAAGCATGTATGATATATATAAACCATGTGTAGAGGATTATATAATTTAGTAGTATGCTAAATTCTAGAAATTTCACATGTGTTAGTGACATGGGACACTTGTAGAATTATTGATGTTATATGCAATCTCTATTGATATGAATAGCTATATTTGTTGTTACAATAATTCTATGTCCTTATGAATTACTAATTGTAATTATTTAGGAACTTATTGCTATAATGTTGATGTTTAGTATATGAAGCTTATTGTTGAGACATAACCTATGTTGTTAAGTTGATGGTATTTTATTGTGCATAGTACCATAATGAGGAATTGTCATTTGGCATGCCATTCTATACTTGGAGCCCTAAGGCATGGGTTGTGTGGTTTAAAAAAAATACTTGTGCATGGAAGGTGGTTTATATGCCTTAAATTATTATATATAAGTTTTGAACTTGATATATATATTCTGGATTCTCTTAGGACATTGTTACAAGTAATATGGCTAAAGTTTAGCTTTAGTGCAGGAGGTATGAGTTCTCCCCAATTGAGATAGTGCGCACTAGGATGGTCTTCCTAGTGGGTTAATGCCCAGAATAACCATTTTATTCTTGGTTTAGTCCGAGACGTGATGTCCAAGTTTTCCATTATGTGATTTCGCATTAAATTTCAAGTTGACAACCAATGCTTAATTGTAACTTGTAATTTTTGGTTGATTGCGAATTGATGTTGTTAAGTACATTGATATTGATTTGTGTTGCTAAAGAATTATTTAATTAGCTTAAGATGATCCCTTAGAATACCTTGAACATAGACGTTAAGTGGAATGATCCCTTGTATTCGTCTATATTGATCTTGCAATGATATTGAAACTTAAGGGTATACGCATATGCTTCTCCTACGAGTAACTTGATTACTCACCCTAGCGGTTTGGGTTGTTTTTCAGATATAGAGACTATGTTCATGGATGCTCATCATCCTTAGAAGCTTTTGAGCTTGTTAAAACATTTTTGTATATTAACATGCAAGTGTTTAGCATGCTTAACTTTTGAAGTTATATTTTGTATACCATGTATGTATAGTACTTTTGAAGATTATGTAATTTCCTTGATGTGTAAAGATGTGAAGTAATCACTTTTGACATTTTAAAAATGTACGTAATAAGGCCAAGGGCCAAGCATGTCTACTTTGGTACTTAGACACTTCTGGTAACAAAGTTTTACTTCAAATGTCTTTTAATCAAATTTTGAGGTTTGAGAAGTCAAAATCTTATAAAGGAAGTGTATGAGGCCATGGGCCATTGTTTTAAGTTCAAACATTCATATCAAAGTTGTTAGCATGTTCACACATTCAAATTTCATTGAAAAATCAGTTTTTAAGTTTCATTTTGAACCAAAATCATCATGGGATTCAAGTTGAGGTTGAACCTTAGCATCTTCAGCATATAGCAGGTTCAGTAGCAGGTTTTTGTGGCGTTTTGGTCGACCAAAACTCCATTTCGGTCGACCGATGGCAAATGGTTTTGTCAATGCACAGTAAAACTCAATTCCAGTAGCCAAAAACATTGTTCAATGGTCATTTTGGTATTATTTCAGTCTACCGAAGAAACATGAACCTTTTCTTCATGATTTTAGGTCTTAGCATCTTCATTTCGATCATCTGAAACTTCATTTCGGTCGACCGAAATAGCTAGAACCCGAGCCTGGCTTCTGTTGAGTTTCAGCACTGATCTTTCAACTTCAAAGGGTCATAACTTCTTCGTTTCTAATCCAAATGGGGTGATTCTTGAGCCTAAACTCAAGAATTTTGAGTCAGATTTCCAATGGTACCAATCCTATTCTCAAATTCCAAACACAGTGGGAGTTATGTATCTTTTAGTGAAGAAGTGTCAGTTTTCACTTCAAGGATTCTTAGCCAAAGTCTATGGAACCTCTTAGAATGTTTCAAAATGATTAGATTAGGTTGTATTAACATTTTTTGACTTGTTTAGAGTCAATTTTCTCCTTTTAATAGTAAATTGACCTTTTTGCCCCTTGGATAGTAAATTTTCCTTTTTGACCCTTGTTTCCGTCTTTGTTCTCTTTGAGCTTTGTGAACTCATGGAGGGTCACATTTGTGTCTTTGGAGTGACTCTTACCTTTTAAGACCTTATTTTACCTTTTGCTTCCACAATTCGGATCCGTTATCGGATCAACTTTCGGTTCATCACTGACGCACCAGGTTGAAAAACTTGGGCCGTCACAAGTGGTATCAGAGCTCCTAGGTTTGAACACCTTAAGACGATGGGTTTTGGGTGCATATCATGCTTTTTTTGATGTACTTTGATGCATTCACATGCTTTTGATAACATGTTTTGACTTTGTAACATGTTTAGGTGTTTCGTGATAACATGCTTAGTAGTATGAC